TATTGTTAAGTTGCGGTTACATGGAAAATAGACAGTTATGAATATAGATAGTTATGATAACGTTATCCGTTGTACCATAACGATAACGTTACGTTATTTAGAAAAGACATAACGACACACCGCTAGTCACATTGTCGCGCAAATATTCGTATAGCGTTGTCGCAATATAACCACATGAGTAACGAAATCGTACCGTACAGAGGCAAAGCTTCATACAACCGCGCTGTGATAAGTACACTACTACAAGCTTGAGGCGCATGTTTGCGTGACCACTGCTGACTCGGCCAGTGCTTAAACTCAGGGTTGTGTATAAAATAATAAGTGTCAAATTTTGTTTTTTGAAGAATAATTCGTATCAAATGAAAAACACAAAAGTTAGATAGGCGGGTAGTAACTGCCAGTAAATGTCATCTAGTTACTCGTAGTATTGCCTTCAATAAAATGTTTATAATTAATATGTTAGGGTAACCTCAAAATACTATTTATAAATACGATTTCGATATGTTACTTACGAAACCAGACGATTGTCGTATTTTAATACCTCCAATTCCAATATCTATTTGATTTACCACAAAAATAGTTTAGTCTATGTGTCGGGATATTTGTACCTATAGAAAATGTTGTTTCAAACACCACAAATGTGAGAAAAAAAATTGTACGTTAATAGGTCTAATAACCCTATAAATATAGAAAGATATTATTTTTTCAACCATTACAAAGATTTTAATAAAGACAGTAAATATTCAATCGGATTTTTTATTAATATTTTTTTTATAGGATAGGGTGACAAACGAGCACACAGTCCACCTGATGGTAAGTGGTTGCTGTGGCTTATAGACATCTACATCTATTCTCGTTTGCGAATCAAAATGCAGATGCGTTGTCACCCATGAGGACCAAGATGGAATTGTTGGATGGAAGCATTATTTACTCGTATTTTCAAAAAATGCAGTAACGGTATATCATTACTTATATATTTGTAGTTAAATATAAAATTTAGGTAGTCTTTAAAAAATAAACCTTGTATAATGATTGCTGTAATTGATATTATCTAGTTTACAGTTTGATGTTATTGTTTAAGGAATTTTCTTAGCATGGCTACATTAAAAAAAAAGTTGTGCTTAGAACTGTCATTTAAGTCACATTCACACAAAGAACTATACTTTATTCAGAGTTTTCTTAAAAATACCGAGGTACAGACATGTCCAAGAGGAATTTATAGTAATAACAGATGTAACTAATTAGCTGATTTTTATTTAACTGGGGAACTTAAAGATTGTATGTTGCAGAATAACTTACATTTTGTATTTCTTGTTGATCGTCTCTTCTCGTCTTGTTGAGGGTCTCCGGTTCTCTACACTCACCATACGAAACACAGCAATGTTAAGCTTCTATTTTACGCTGGTATTCTGTGAGGGCGTGGTCGTGGTAGTAGTGCCAAAAATTTCTCGAATATTTTGACGTCGTAATTTAACATTGTAAATATTGGTAAGGAAATATTAAAACGTGTGCAAGATTTTATATTTGATTTTTTATGCAATGCGAGTGTTTTGTAATAGATTATTTAAAAAAAAACTTTACAATAAATTTAGAATTACCATTAAATTAAAAGTCATATCTAACTTTTGAAGAACAATAATTATAAAAGTAAAACATTTAGAGTACGTAGTTTATAAAAAAAAATATACCTTAAGTAACAATAAAAATGTTGATAACCGTTTTGTTTATTTAGTTTATCCTCCTGTGCCAGTCCTATCAAAATAAGTAAAAATTTTGACAACTCCTTATAAGCTTTCCCTCTGTGCAGTTTCTTTACTCATGTGATATAACTTCGTGTTCGATTTACGACAAACTGTATTTATCACATTGTTAGAAAACTTCGCAATTTAAAAATGTCGCAATAATGCAGTTAGACAGCTAAATGCGGGATAGTGGAAATCGCGTTTGCGCTGTATTATGTGTTGGCAAATAATTACTAATTGCATCTTTATTATTTAAAAAAAATTTTTAAAGAAGCTAAATAAATGCGATGGTAAATTCTAAATTTTTTTCGTTATTTCAATCCACATTTACCTACGATAAAATCGGGATATTGCAACACAAATACGTCCACACTGCTCGACGTCTTGCTGTAAACCTGTAACAAAGACCTGTAAACAGAGAGCTCGCAAAGTGTGTGCAATTGCACAAACTTTGTCGCGGTAAAACCGTATACCATTGCCAGTGTGGAGTTATTGGTTCTTTTACGGTTTTTCCGATGCGAAGTAGTGCGTAATACGCGGACCAAGTTAATAGGGGGCACAACAAGTATAGCAAAAACTAATGATACTATATTATAGAAAACAACATAAATATAACATGCGTTTCTGCAACACAAAACAATATTACTCTCTACTGAGATTTCTGCAAGGCGAGCTCCTGGTGTAGAATCCTGTCTACCTGAATTTTACATGGGAAATGCTAAATAAAATGATTTTATAATAATAAAATTTTACTACAGTCATAAAAATGAATATAGAGTTAAACAATGAAATTAAATGTGCACAGTAAGTGTATTAGTAAGTATATTTAGCCAAATATATGAGCATTTATATTGTATACAAACATGAGTTGACAAAGACTTCAAATACCTTTCATTCTGCATGCCAAACAAGACGTTACCAAATACGCAATTATATACGATCCCAAAATGATTAAACTCATGACTAGTTATCGGCGTAGGTAGAGCTATTTTGAGGCAATGAACTTGAATGATAATGTTAATATGGACATGCTCCGGGATTTCCGGGAATATTTTTCTGAATGTCGATGTGTTATATAAAATTAAACTGTTTAAAATACCTTATCAAACTACTCATTTCCGGTATAATGTGGTCCAGCGTGATGCTGTTTGCCATATTACTGGTCAATAGGAGGGATCTTGTTATACTGATATGTCCAATGCTCATCAATGTGAAACAAATTCGTATGTCAGAAATGGTAATTAATCACTTGTAGTATAAAAGTTGAGAAACTGAATCTTCTTATTATATCTCAATAAGTACCATTTTTATTATAACAATTTGTGAAATATGAAGATGATTAAATAATAAGGAGAAAAAAAAAACAACAACTCCTAAACAAAAATATATTTTGTCCAAAGTGTGACATATATAGACTTCTAGATTTGGAGTAAGACAATCGTAAATAGTCGGCTTCGCAATATTGCGCCGCTCGCGTAATTTTAAACCTTTTTCTTGACTTTACTATGCAAACTTGTCCACGGTGAACCGGTTTGTTTAACACAGATGGAAAGTTAAACTAAAGTAGAATCTCGAACAAGCCATAAACATTGCTTATATTAGATTATATTGAATGGGTAAAGTGAAACCGAGTCCTCATCTCACCATCGAAGAGTTAACGAAAGCGCAAATGACTTTAGTGACCAGTAAAATATATGCATAAAATTAATAGTTATGTAAAATACGAATTTCCAAAATAGTTCTTAATAAAAATATCGATTTGATAAAATATGTAAATAATATATTCACGGGATTTAGAAAGCCATTCATGTTAAGATAACGGTCACTAAATCCTGGGAATAGCACTACTTACGTTACGCCGATCACAACTCATGACAGATAAAATTTTGTATCAAAATGATTAGTACAAAACGAAGTTAATTTGACATCTTCGTAGTACAATTACTAAGTTTTGCTGACACGCCATAGGGCCGCGAGCTCGCATCAAGTGTCTGTATGCTCTACAAACAATTTTCCCGGGCCTAGTAATTTGCCTTACGCAATTCATGTATGTTAATCATCTCCACAATGCAGGAAAAAATCTTAATGTGGCAGTAACCTTTTTTTTTTAAGTTATTGCACTTGAGGAATTATTTTGTTTTGTATTTTTGTTATTTTTACATTGTTCCTTTCATAATTTTTAAAAAGCTAGATGTGAAATTTTTTGATCTCAGGATCTAAAATACTTTAAAAATTGACGACACATAAACCTTGGTGGCTACAATCGTTTTTATAATTTTATTCCCAGCTAAAACGTAACAGAGTAAAACGGAATATCTATGCAGCCCTTATAATCTATTATTTTAGATAGATTATAATAAAGTCTATTATCTTTGCACTGCCATGGCTTTACTAAGTTGGTATTATATATTACACGATTATTAGTCATTATCGATTTATTTTAAGCTTAATATTAAAATATCACTCTGTCACCAAATTATTACTAAAGGTGATAAATAACGATACTGTATATTTCATAATTCAAAGTGAACATAGCAACAAAAGTCTTGGCGCCAGCGGAACTTGTCATAGACAAATATTGAAGTTGGCACTCCTGCAGTAACTACGTGGTCGCAATATTACGGAAATGTAAACATGCACAGATAATTCTTGGTTAATTTTTCCATATTTGGTGCTTAGAACTAAACATTTAAGGCTTATCAGTAAACTATTTCAAAATAATATACTTCAGAGTTATTTCATGATTACAAAAGCTACTACTGCAACATTTTTATTTTTCTGTCATCGAAGTGAAGATAGGCAAAAGCGTCACCCAGTGCTGTAGAATTTCAAGTCCGTTTAATGGCGGACGCTAATAATTTTGGAAGTTTCGTGATTCTATTGTTCTGTTTTTGAGTATATCACCGATCTATAGGATAGGGAATGAGTATTTTAAAAAGTGATTGCATCTGTAGTGTTGTACATGTGAAAGTGATATGAAATGTTCAGTGTGAACATTACAAAAGCGCCCGCTAGATATGTAACCTTTTCCATAACCTCGTTTACGCCAATGGAGTAGATATGTGATCGATGTGTGTGCGTCGGTGAACGATTTTTCGTCAGTTACGTGTTACAATTTGTGCAAAGTTAAACGGCTTAATAGTGATGGAAGTGTCCGCGTCGCGGTTTTGCAATCCGACGCCTGTTTTCGATGTAACGTAAGTGAGCCGGTCGATCGCTAGAGCGAGTGTAAGAAGGGACGGCCGCTACCAGCCGAACATGGCTGCGACGCAGGCAGAGTCTCAGCGTAGCGAAGTGAACGTAGATCAGAGTCCATCGGAGCAACTCAGTGAATCTCGGAGCGCTCTATTACAAAACGGCACTGACAAGAGCGTAGGGCGCGTTCCGCCCGATGGCATTGTGAACACAAAGAGCAAATCGCCGATGTCGGCCGATTCCGGACAGCCACGCGACAGTGGCGAAGCACCAGGTCACGATCGGGGCGGTGAACGACCGATAGCGGACCAGTACGGCCAGTATCGTTATCCAGAAGGGGCAGATCCGTATTATGCGGCGCGGCCTGGATTTCCCGGTAAACCGCGCCCTCCGCCGCAACAGAGATTCTTTCCGGGCCAGCCTGCATCACAGGCACCAGGTCCCACGCCCACACTTAACTCATTGCTGCAATCGAGCGGTGCGCCGCCACACCGCTATCCCAATAGCTATGAGCAGCCACCGGCGGGTTATGGGCCCGCCCCTGGTTGGCCTCCGCCACGACCAATGCCTCCGTATAATCCCCAGGGAGGACCCTATAGAAATTCTACGGTAAGTACAAAACTATGTTTTACCTACCATTTTCACTTAAAATAATCTAAACATGCTCTATGCATGCTTAGCAATATATTATTATTTTTCTACTCTGGCAGAATTGAAAAATTATTGCATTGGACATCATAATATGTTATTGGTAATTGTTTTAAATGAATCAGATTATATTTTTGTTAGTTTATATATTTATTTATTATTTACACTTTATTCTTAACATTTTAAAAATAATTATATAGGGCAGACAATTCCTTTAGGTATTCTCTTTCAGTTAACAAAGTTTATGCCACTTAAATGGCATCTAACTAAATAAAGTAAGGTTATTTATTTTAGCATTGTTTTATGAAACTAGTTTATTTACTTTCCTATTGATTTATTAAGAATTAGTTCTTATTTTGTTAAAGATATGTTATGTTCCACTCAGATTTATATTTTTAAATTTCTTGTTATTTATTACATATAATCTAAACTTAAGTCATAAAATTTAATTGAATGATGGGTTACAGTATCGAGAGTCATATTTCTTTAATTGAAATATTCTTTTTTATTTTTATAACTCATTGAGAAACTACTCTAAAACTGTAGGTACATTTTATTTTTTATGTGTATTTAATGTAAAAGGTACTCCTATATTTATAAATGAAGTTAGTGTATTTTTATGTATATTTATGTGATATCTAAAGCTATGCAGACATAAACCTTCAATGTTTTTAAAATTATAACTGAAAAAATTATAAATAGTCTTTCTTATATTCATGTTCTTGCATTGTTGATGTCTGGGAAGCACAATGTCTGATTAGGGTGGATGCCCCTAATACCAGCCATGCCCCTAATTCCAGCCTTTTCGCCTTTTTACTCTGTAAATAAGATTTCTAGTAGTCTTAACTACATATATTGTCATTTAAAAAAATCTTCGTAGCTAGAGGAAAGTATATTCAAATATTATGTCGCAGTTTTAAACCTAACTGTTGTTATGTTTATCTTTCAAATTCAGAATGTGTGGTAATCTACTATTTTACTACACATGCACAAATTCATAAGGGTCACTTGATCGGCAAAAATATTGTGAATTGATTTACATACAGTAGTGCATGTGTACGTGTAGTTGTTGCCCATAAATCACAATCAATCTGGGATTATTTCAAATAAATGTAGAAGCATTATTTACTCGTATTTTCAAAAAATGCAATAACTGTATATCATTATTTATATATTTGTAGTTAAATATAAAATTTAGGTAGTCTTAAAATAATAAACCCTGTATAATGATTGCTGTAATTGATATTATCTGTTTTAATTGCTGTAATTGATTTTATCTAACAGTGTTAATTTAAAAATCAGAACAACGTACGCGTACTGAAAAATGCTCATTTTCCTAATTTTTTGACAAGTTATGATCTCAGTTAAATTATGCTTACTTTACATTATCTCATATATAGGCTTTTTGATTTTATATGAATATGACTATAGACATAGTAATGCAGTTATTCTTGTTTAAATTTACAAGTTATTTATTTTCTTTTAGTGGAAATTAATGGGGCTGTAATTAGATATAAGAAATGTATGGAGTGCATAATGTCAGCCGCCCGGCTGTTATTTGGTTTGACGTACCTAATAAAAAGTACCTAATTTCAGCCATGTAATATAAATCAGGGCTGTCATAAACTGGAATAAATACCATTAATTAGATCATAACTTATTTTATAGCTAAGGAAGTTATGATCAATTCGTCTGTTTTAAAATTGGTTTTAGATTATAAAGTTTAGCAAAAGATGTACTAGCTTTTCTCTCTCATTCGTTGTATATTAAGAACACCTTATGTATTCAATTATTTTTTGAAAAAGAAAAAAAACAAGCAATAAATATAGTATATACAAGCAAAAACTATAACTTAGTAATACTATTTATATCTTAGAACATAAATGAAAAACTCATAACAAGGAAAGTGGGCCGGATGTTCACTAGTAGACTTGTGTAGACTTGTAATGACGATGATGATTTGAAAACTAGGATGATTAAATTATTAGAAATCGAAGTACTACATAATATTTTATCATAATTTGCTTTAATTTATTGAACTGCTTTAAACTAAAACACAGTAAGTTAAGTAGTAAAGCATTTATATAAAATAATGTTGTCGCCAGTTTTAATACATATTCCATGCTTGTGACATGCAGATTCAAAATTAACTAAAACTCAAAAGGCATAACCCTATGCTATGCTGACTGGAATTTGAGCCATAACACCTTTTTTGCTTATCGTCGTTTTTAAAATTGTTCTTTAAATAATTTGATTGTAAATAAATGTTCATTACATTTGTCCATAAATAATCTATCTATTAAAACAAATGTTTAAAAATATTGTGCCCTAATTAAAATTGCAGGAATTTTTAAAGTTGAAATTGGCACTAAAAGGCTGGTAATAGGGGCATCCACTCTACCATCTGATTGATTGTTATCCTTTTCTAAATAAAATAACTACTGAAAATGATAAAAGGAAAATTACATTCATTTTAATATCAGGGCAATGTATTACTTTTTTTTTTATAGTATAGGGTGCCAAACGAGCACTCAGTCCACCTGATGGTAAGTGGTTGCTGTGGCCCATAGACATCTACATTTATCCTCGTTTGCGAATCAAAATGCAGATGCGTTGTCACCTGTGAGGACTAAGATGGACTCCATTATTAATAGTAGTCAGATGAGTAGAGATTGTGCCCTGCCTTTTAAGGTTTATATTTGTCCAGCTCGAAGTATATGTGAACAAAAATTTACTTTATTTTAAACTTATTTATCTAGGATCTCAATTAAATCTAGCCAATTAAGAATCTAATTCAATAACACATCTTTCATATTATTGAAAACTATTATATTGTTACTAGTAATCTGGCTATGCACAGGTGATTTCTGGATCATGACAACAGTGCCACCTGTACAGTAACAGTGGTCCAATTGTGAATGTAAACTATTCTCAAATCAATTTAATCATCACACAAAATTTCATAAAAATCGGTCCAACTGTTTAGGAAAACTTTAGTCACATACACATGGATAGGAAAATTATATATTATATACTAGCTAACCAGGCAGACGTTGTTCTGCCATTTCCGAACAAACATTTGCTTTCCTTAGAAAAACTAAAATTAACAATAAAAAAAATCGAGGGTCACTTATCGGGATAAAAACTATCCTATCTCTTAAGTTTTTTTTTATGGGATAGGGTGACAAGCGAGTACACAGTCCACCAGATGGTAATTGGTTGCTGTGGCCCATAGACATCTACATCCATCCTCGTTTGTGAATCAAAATGCAGATGGGCAATCACCCATGAGGACCAAGATGGAATGTCTCTTTTCCAGTAAAAAAGGGTCTCTGGTTCTCTACACTCACCATACGAAACACAGCAGTGTTAAGCTGCTATTTTACGCTGGTATCTGTGAGAGCGTGGTCCTTTCCGGGTCGAGCCGACCCATTCGTGCTACAACTGTACTACTAATATAGCTGTAGCATGGCTCTACCACGTTGGAAAAAACTGAAGAAGCTGGACCAAACTGCACACAGTGTGCAAAATTTCATTAAAATCAGTTTAGAAATTTAGGAGATCATCGCGGACAAACAGTGTGACACGTAATTTTTATATATAAAGATATACATATTATGATTAATAATAAAAATCAATTAGATTAAGAATATCAAAGAGTATTTCTTGTATGTACATCTTTTTCTGAGCATATACATTTTCAAGAGGTATTGTTGTTATTTTTACTTTTCAAATTCAGAATATGTGGTAATCTACTATTTTACTACACATGCACAAATTCATAAGGGTTACTTGATCAGCAAAAATATTGTGAATTGATTTACATACAGTAGTGCATGTGTAGTTGTAGTTGTTGCCCATAAATCACAATCAATCTGGGATAATTTCAAATAAATGTAAAAGCATTATTTACTCGTATTTTCAAAAAATGCAATAACGGTATATCATTATTTATATATTTGTAGTTAAATATAAAATTTAGGTAGTCTTTAAAAAATAAACCCTGTATAATGATTGCTGTAATTGATGTTATCTAGTTTACAGTTTGATGTTATTGTTTAAGGAATTTTCTTAGCATGGCTACATTAAAAAAATAGTTGTGCTTAGAACTCTCATTTAAGTCACATTCACACAAAGAACTATACTTTATTCAGAGTGTTCTTAAAAATACCGAGGTACAGACATGTCCAAGAGGAATTTATAGTAATAACAAATGTAACTAATTAGCTGATTTTTATTTAACTGGAGAACTTAAAGATTGTATGTTGCAGAATAACTTACATTTTGTATTTCTTGTTGATCGTCAGATAACATTACAAGCTTCTGGCAACCAATGTAGCATCTTAATGCATAGGTCTGAAGTAAAGGCTAGTTTTTTCTTTTTAAGTTTGTATTTGTTCTAACCAATGTGTACTGCTTGTCTCGCATTTTCGTCAGCATAATCATTAAATTAGCTAATGTCTGTTGACACTATACAAGTCTGTATTAATGCCCATATTAACAACTTCCCTGTCTGTGAAAAAGACAATAGTTAACCCTTTCATTGGTATAGGCAAAATACTTGCCAGGCCAAGTTTCGTAATACTGTCAAAAAATAAAACATAATTATCTTCAATAAGAGTCAACGGTTCTCACTCCATCTAGTGTCGATGTAATAAAATTATTTCTACAGCTCTCAGTTCATCCGCCATTTTGCAATCTGTCATTTGAAAAAATTTGGCGTGAGGTGAGTTTTTGGGATGCTCTGGCAAAATCTAATTTTCAAAATTGGCCGTGTAAAAATTGAGTAAATCTATTTCATTATATTGGTGAAGGACTATTCTATCGTATTTCATTATAATTTCGACAATATATAATATTGGTATCTAATTATGAAACTGAATCTTTCAGTTTGAAACCCGTGAACTGAATATGCTCAGCTAAATATTTGCCTATTTGCCTACAGAATTTATTTTATGAGA